AATACAGCTCTAATTGGTATGCATCCTATCAGCCTGTTTTAGCCCCACTGATAGCGTTTTATAATGTGTGGCTAGCATGAGGCTTAGCAGAATACTTTTTTTTTGTACAGGTCTCATGACTTATTTCCGTGAAGCCACTGTGCATACGCAAGAGCTCTTGGATCTACTGGTCAAGTGTGAGAATAAAATCCAAACAAGGATTAAGATTGGGCTGAACTCAAAGATGCCTAGTCGGTGAGTGAAAGCTATCCTTATTAAATTATGGTTGATATATCAGAGCTGTACGTTAATGTTGCTGTAACATGATTTTTTTACTTTTCCTTGGCAGATTTCCTCCTGTTATCTTCTACACTCCAAAGGAAATTGGTGGGCTAGGAATGTTGTCAATGGGTCATATTTTGATCCCACAAAGTGACCTTCGGTACAGCAAGCAGACTGATGTTGGTGTAACCCACTTTAGGAGTGGAATGAGTCACGAGGAAGATCAGCTGATACCAAATCTTTACCGTTACATACAGCCATGGGAAAGTGAGTTTATTGATTCGCAGAGGGTGTGGGCAGAATATGCATTAAAGAGACAGGAAGCGCAGGCACAAAATAGGCGTCTTACACTGGAAGATCTGGAAGTAAGTATCATACTTGTGTGATTGTTACTTCTTTAGTTATTGTATAGTTCTGAGAGGGATGTCAGTGTGGTAGCTTGCCTTCTTTTGGTAGTCTTGGAAGTAGTCTTTTGTCTTTGCTTAACATAGAGTTTCTGGAGGATATCTAGGTGTTTGCCTTGTCCTCGTTTGGAGGTCCCAGCGCAAGATTAATTTGAATTTTATGTTACGTTTCTAGAATATTTGATGATTGATGAGAGAATATTAACTCGTGGATAAAACTATGACAGGACTCTTGGGATAGGGGAATTCCACGTATTAATACGCTGTTCCAGAAGGATAGGCACACGTTAGCATATGATAAAGGTTGGAGGGTCCGGACAGACTTCAAGCAGTACCAAGTACTTAAACAAAATCCTTTCTGGTGGACACACCAGAGGCATGATGGGAAGTTGTGGAACTTGAACAATTACCGGACTGATGTCATTCAAGCTCTAGGAGGTGTTGAGGGTATTCTTGAGCACACACTATTCAAGGGAACATAGTAAGTCTGCTTTTCATTTGTCCTCAATTAATTATGACCTTTGTTTTATGGTTTCAGTTGCTCACAGATTTTATTCTTAGCATCTCACATAAAATGTGCTGATTATCTCATGCTTTACATGAACTCAGTTTCCCGACATGGGAAGGTCTTTTCTGGGAGAAGGCATCTGGTTTTGAGGAGTCGATGAAATATAAGAAGCTCACTAATGCGCAGAGGTCTGGTCTGAACCAGATTCCAAACAGAAGATTCACGCTTTGGTGGTCGCCAACAATTAATCGAGCGAATGTTTACGTGGGTTTCCAAGTGCAGTTGGATCTGACAGGAATATTTATGCATGGAAAGATTCCTACACTTAAGATATCTTTGATTCAGATTTTCCGTGCCCATTTGTGGCAAAAGATCCACGAGAGTGTTGTTATGGATCTTTGCCAAGTATTGGACCAAGAGTTGGACGCTCTGGAGATAGAAACTGTGCAGAAGGAGACTATCCATCCAAGGAAGAGTTATAAGATGAACAGCTCTTGTGCTGATGTTCTTCTTTTTGCTGCCCATAAATGGCCAATGTCTAAGCCTAGCCTGGTTGCTGAGTCAAAGGATATGTTCGACCAGAAAGCGAGTAACAAGTATTGGATAGATGTGCAACTTAGATGGGGAGATTATGACTCTCATGACATTGAGCGTTATACTAGGGCCAAATTCATGGATTATACAACGGACAACATGTCTATCTATCCATCTCCGACTGGTATCTATTACTTTTTCCATTTTGGTTTCTTTTGTTAAGCCTTTGTTTTTCTGCAGTACGTCTTATCTTTTGACAAAATCTGTGCAGGTGTAATGATTGGGCTTGATCTGGCATACAACTTGCATTCTGCCTTCGGTAATTGGTTCCCTGGTTCAAAACCTCTTATCGCTCAGGCAATGAACAAGATCATGAAGGTACTAGAATTCACAGATTTGGTGTCTTTTGCAGGGCCTTTATGTTTTAATATGTGACTTATCGTTTAAACGTTAAATATTGCAGTCAAATCCGGCTCTGTACGTGTTGAGAGAGAGGATAAGGAAAGGTTTACAGTTATACTCATCTGAGCCTACGGAGCCATATTTGTCATCTCAAAACTATGGTGAAATATTCAGCAATCAAATCATATGGTTTGTTGATGATACCAATGTCTACCGTGTCACAATTCACAAGACATTTGAAGGAAATTTAACAACAAAGCCAATCAATGGGGCGATTTTTATTTTCAATCCACGAACTGGGCAGCTATTCCTGAAGGTATTTATTCCTCTTCCGTACTTTACATTAAACTCTGCTTCTTCTGTTTTAAGTCTAATAACATGCGGTGGGATCTTAAGTTATTGCATTTTGTTCCTTTATAGGTTATCCATACTAGCGTCTGGGCTGGTCAGAAGCGTCTTGGTCAGCTAGCTAAGTGGAAAACGGCTGAAGAGGTTGCTGCACTTGTGCGTTCTCTCCCTGTTGAAGAACAGCCAAAACAAATTATTGTGACTCGTAAAGGAATGCTGGATCCCCTTGAGGTTCACTTGCTGGATTTCCCCAACATTGTTATCAAGGGAAGTGAACTGCAGCTTCCGTTCCAGGCTTGCCTTAAGATAGAGAAATTTGGTGATCTAATTTTGAAGGCCACGGAACCACAGATGGTCTTGTTCAATATCTACGATGATTGGTTGAAGAGTATTTCTTCGTATACTGCCTTTTCAAGACTCATTCTGATCCTTCGTGCGCTTCACGTGAATAATGAGAAGGCTAAGATGCTGTTGAAGCCCGACAAGTCTGTTGTCACTGAGCCACATCACATCTGGCCCTCTCTCACTGACGACCAATGGATGAAGGTAACTCTTAAGCCACTTCTCAAATAGTTATTTTCCTTTATTTGGTTTCTTTCCATGTTATCTTATATGATAGGATCCCTAGCCTCTGTATCTGCTGTTTTTACCTGCTCTTTAATTATACCACATAATTGTTCTACGTTCTTCTCTTTCCTGATTCAAAATCATGTCAAATTCAGGTGGAGGTAGCACTTAGAGATCTTATCCTTTCTGACTACGCAAAGAAGAACAATGTGAATACCTCAGCATTGACACAATCAGAGATCAGAGATATTATTCTTGGAGCTGAGATTACTCCACCCTCTCAACAGAGGCAACAGATAGCTGAGATTGAGAAACAGGTACTCATAACTGTTACTTCTGTCATGTTTTAAAACAAACATTCAGAGAGTAGATCTGTGCCTATTGTCCTTTGTTCACTGTGAATCTGTATTCTATTTACAGGCAAAGGAAGCCAGCCAGCTTACTGCAGTCACAACCAGAACCACAAATGTTCATGGTGATGAGCTCATTGTCACCACTATTAGCCCTTACGAGCAATCTGCATTCGGTTCAAAAACGGATTGGCGTGTGCGTGCAATATCAGCTACTAACCTGTACCTCAGAGTCAATCACATATACGTAAACTCAGATGACATAAAGGTTAGAATCCAATTCACTCAATTCACTTTGCCAGTTGAGAAGTGTTTGGCCTTAAAACATGATTTTATTGTTTGTTGTGCTCACAGGAATCCGGATACACATACATCATGCCAAAGAATATCTTGAAGAAATTCATATGCGTAGCGGATCTTCGTACTCAAATTGCTGGATATTTATACGGTATCAGTCCCCCGGATAATCCCCAAGTGAAGGAGATCCGATGCGTTGTGATGGTGCCGCAGTGGGGATCTCACCAGGGAGTTCATCTGCCGTCATCTCTTCCGGAGCATGATTTCCTAAATGATCTTGAGCCCCTTGGATGGTTGCACACACAGCCTAACGAGCTCCCTCAACTCTCACCACTGGTATGGCATATATAGAGAGACTATACCTTCTTTTCAGCGCGTTAACCCCACCCCACACAATTACTAACCGATGTTTGTTTGCTGTGATAGGATGTTACCTCTCATTCCCGTATTCTGGAGAACAACAAGCAATGGGATGGAGAGAAATGCATCATCCTGACATGCAGTTTCACTCCGGGCTCGTGCTCTTTGACATCGTATAAGTTGACCCAAACCGGATATGAATGGGGGCGTCTCAACAAGGATACCGGCAGCAATCCTCACGGTTACCTCCCCACCCATTATGAGAAGGTTCAAATGCTCTTGAGTGACCGATTCCTCGGGTTTTACATGGTAAGTACCCACTAGTTCTGCTTTGTCCTTGCTTGACTGAAATTGGATTTTGACAGTTGTTGTTTTTGTTGTTGTGATAGGTTCCTGAGAATGGACCGTGGAACTACAACTTCATGGGAGTGAAGCACACGGTGAGCATGAACTATGGCGTCAAACTTGGATCCCCGAAGGAGTTCTATCACGAGGAGCATCGCCCCACTCATTTCCTCGAGTTCAGCAACATGGAGGAGGCCGACTTCGCTGAGGGAGATCGCGAAGACACATTCTCTTGATACTCTCTCTATATATACTCTCTTTTTCTACCATGTTTTGTAACTTCTTATTTTGCAGTAGAGAAACTTGTACGCTCGTCGTATGTACTACGCAACTTAGTAGGAGCTGAGTTTTACTGTCTTGTGCATTTTTGAGATAGTAATGTTCCTAATTCTCAACTTTTTTTGCCAGTAAATCCTATGCAAAATCTTTAATGTGTTGCTGTTGCTACGTTCTTGTCCAATCATTTATAGGTGTTCGATTATATACGTCGTCAGGAGGGGAAAGAACAAACAAACGATTTTGATATCTTGAATGGTTAGGAAGACAACTTTTAAGTTCATTGCATTTCTTTCATATAGTAAACTTGGAAAAACATTTACAGCAGTTTTGTTTGTTATCCCTTTCCTACATAAATATTAGCAGCATATAGCCGAAATTAAACACCAGAAAGAGTACAGATGGACAAAAGAAGCAAAAAGATTTGGAACCGCTTGATACGTCCATAGCTGCGTTCGCCGTGACACCATCTCCTCTAGATAGATGCTGGACCGTACCGACAGGACCAGGTCTCTGCGTTTCGCCGTCACACAACCTGACGCTTGAACCAGCTGTAGAACCGAATACATCATCCAAGTCACTGTTCCGGTTCACGCACAAACCTGTATTGTTATACAGCCTCAGCTTTCTCCTCATCCTCCACACTGTCTCTCTCTCGAACGGTACTGGCCCTGTCAGACGGTTATCGTTTAGCCTCAGCTCGCTTAGATGCTTCACGTCCCGAAATGTTAAAGGAATCGACCCGGTCAAGTTGTTGCCCTCCAAATGAAGCACCCGGAGACTGGTTAAACGAGTCAATGATCCTGGTATTGACCCCTTGAGATTCATGTTGGAGAGAACAAGGACCATCAAGTTCTTGAGCCCTTTGAGCGCATTTTCAGGAATTGTTGCCGAGAATTCTGTATTGCCTTTGAGCACCAAAGCTTGAAGAGAGTTTAGGCCTTGGAGAGAAGGCGGGAATGGACCTGATAGTCGGTTATAGCTCAAATCGAGAAGCACTAGTTGGTTAAGCCGGTTAATCGAGTCGGGGATAGGACCAGTGAGTCGGTTACGGCTAAGATCAATTTTGATCAACGAACCACAGGTGGAGAGTGTGGATGGGACCCGTCCGGTTAATAGATTGTGGTTCAAGTCCAGAACTTTCAGATCCGGGAGAAGAAAACCGGGAATCGAACCAGTCAACCGGTTCCCGCTCAAATCAAGCGATCTTAAACCGAGGAACCGGTTAAACGACAAAGGAATCGAGCCGTTGAGGTTATTCTTATGGAGATCAAGAATTTTCAAACTGGTGAGATTGCCCAATTCGTCCGGGATAGGACCGAGAAACCCATTCTCCCGCAGAACGAGCGTCTGCAAACTCGAACCCAAGCGGCCCAGAAACGACGGTATCCTCTGTGGGGCCCGGCCCAAACAGCGGTAGAAGAACAAAGCTTTGAGGTGTTTAAGCCTCGTGAGTGACTCGGAGACGTAAGAGCGTTCCGGGTCACAAGTCGGGAACGCCGTGTCGTCTGAGAGCGCTCCGAACGACAGAGAGACGACGTGGTAGACGTTATCCTGGTCGGGCATACACTCGATCCCGTGCCACCGGCCTCGACACACGTCCGGAATCGCGGCAGCCCAGTCGTTGCCGGTCGCACGCATAATGTCGTAGACGGCGTCTTGCTCGTCGGGCTCTGTGCGCGCGCCGTCGTTGGTCATCGTGAATCCAGTCTGTGGGCCGTCTATCAGTGCCGACGGCGCCGTCGATTCAGAGGTGATCACGGTGAAAGATGTGACCAACAACGGAGATATTATAGACAAGACAAGGAACATTTGGCTGTAGAGACCATATTGCGCCATTTTCTTTTTTTGTTTGTTTAGTTTCCGTAGTTTGTGTTTTTGAGTCGAATTGTGTGTGTGTATATATCTAACTAATATCATAAAACAATGGTGGGTCCAAAACAAAACGTTCATATGCCATTATGACTTTCACGGGATAACTCGAGGAGCAAAATACACAAAACAAAATGTCTGATTCATTTATTGGTTTCACGAGATATTCCCCTTGTACTGTGCTATGGATCCGACCCGTTTCGTAAACGAGTGGGTTTTATTTGTAAAAAGAAAAAGTATGGGTATTAACTAGACACATATAAACAATGAGGGTCTTTTTAGCAATGTTTCCTTAAAAATATCCACGTGTAGAGAAGGGGAGCTACATGGACGCTCAGTGATTGCCATTTTCTCTGTTAAGCAAACAAACTCTCCCGTTTTCCGGATTCCGGCGACTCACTCAACACCTAAAGAGCAAAGAGAGGCGAGAGGCGAGAGGCGAGAGGCGAATCTCCACCACAATTTCGGAATCGAAAAAATCGCGGTGAAAATATAAGAGAGAATCAGTAATGCGAGAGGAACATAGTCCGGGTCGGCGACGAGGCAGGGGAAATGGAGGACTGAGGTCGTTGATAGAGCCACATTTCTTGTCATCGTTTGCCTTGGACGACGGTGGTTCGGTTTCTGGAAGGAGATCTTCCTACCTGAAACTTCCTCCTCAGGCTCAGGGTCGTATCAAGCTTTCCGTCGTTAAGCTCGACGGTTCCCTTTTCGGTACGAATTTCTTCTTTTAGAATCCAATTTCGGAAATAAGAGTGTACAATACAATCAAATTGATTTTGCTTACATAAATTCCGTCATCATTTATTCAGCAAATACCATAATCATAATCATAATCATAATCGGTGTTTGTAGCTCTAAATGGTTTCTATTGTGCGTCCTTGTGTTAGCCTTTTGAGAAGAATATATATATATATATTGCCGTCACATAATGTTTTCAAGATATGAAGAGTGGGTCAAACACTGATATGGCTTCTCTGTTTTCAAAATGTAAAATGGCTTGGAACAATTTGATAACAGATGTGGAAATCGCAAAGGATTGCTCAGTGGGAGAGCTAAAAGGAGCTGTCGAGGAAGTTTTCACTATATCTCCTCAGGAAGGTCACGGCAGGATTTCATGGTAACTTGTAATTATAGTTGAAATGTAGCCGCTGTTTGCACATACATATTGTTGGTTTCTGGTTTCTGACGACAGTCGTTGGCTCTTGAAATCTGCCCTCCAGGTCCCACGTATGGGGTCATTTTTGTTTGTGCTATCGAGACCAGATACTAGTGAATGACAAAACAAGCATCCAGAATCTCAGCCTCAACGATGGTGATCAAGTAAGTTCGTAAATACCTCATCTCACTCACTGATTTATTTGCTTTTGACATCGATTTCATTTCAGTTGCATTTTGTGAGGCATTTGTCAATAGACCACTCTCCTATGAACAAACGATCCAAGAGCCAGAGTTGCAAGCGTTACCTCGAGTAAGTCACTTGTGACTTGTGAGTCACATGCCTTTCACCCACATCGTTTTTTCGATGCTAAACAAGTCTCTTGTGTTGCTAGGTTGGAAATGGAATCCAACGCCAACCAGAAGGAGGGAGTAGATAATGAAACTGACAAGGGTGCTCAAGACGAATTCAGGCTAGTTCACTTAATTAAAGCATGGTTACCTTACGCTGGACGCTGGGGATTGTCAAGAAAAGGGTCCGAGAGTCGCACTCGTCCTTCCAGGTTTTCTTTTAAGCATTTTGGTGGCAGGCCCAAGATGTGAAAACCTCAAAGATCCATACTAAATCGTTAATTTCTAATATCAGCCTAGGAGCTTACAAGTTATAACACAGCACTAAGAATGTGAGATTATTAAAGTCTTTTCCGATTTGTGTAACAGTTTGAGTTTGAATATGAACTGAGCCTGAGAATAATAAGGCCAAAATTGTTGCTGAGAAAGTCCAAAACCCCCTGATTTCGCTTTGTCTTTTTCCTTTTCTCAAAAGTTTGGCTCTTACTCATAGAATTTAATTATTGGCCTGGTTGGTGCAAGGGATTGGTTTTTTTCATTGACCTAGTGATTAATACTATACACTCTTCTTCTTCTTGTTAATTTGGTTACAAAGAAATGCACAAACAGTGGAGTCTAGTGCAAGCTTCAGTCCATAGATAGTACTATGTTAGATAGCCTGCCTCAAAGACTTCCATGAAGAGTATATCGCTTGGGGTTTTACTAAAGTAATCTCCAAGCCACAGCACCACTCTCAGCTTCTTCTTACTCGTCAGGTTTCTACTTTGACTTTCTAAGGAATTTTTGTGACTGATGGATCTCAGCACACGTGGGTCTAATTTTGGATGTGTTATAGAGAGCAACATAAAAAGCTGAGAGCATTGTGCATACAGTAACTAGCACTATCTGTCGAAACAGTAAAAAAACGCAAAGAAGTGGGATCTTCTTTTGATTCCCATTTTGATTAGAGTTGCTGTCACTGTTCGAGGAGAGAGCACAGAGTCACATGGTCAAGTCCGAACAAAACAAAAAAAAAAAGGTAGAGGAAAGAGGCAGAGGAAATCTTTGGTAGTGATTGTCCTCCCAAGATTTGGTGTCCTTGGCTGTCTCTTTTTTAATTAACTGCACGAAAGATATTTGTGAGGTTGAGGTACGCATTCCTTTGTGTTTCCTTTTCAAACTTCATTTACAACTCCTTTTGTTTTTATTCTCTTTTTACAACTACAATTGAGCGAGTCTTGAGTCGTGTAATTAAGAGAAGATACACTTTAGTCTATTGATAGGCATAGTAGTAGTAGATGAAACCCTTTTGGTTTGCTTAGCTTTTGTGAAATCATAAAATAATAATAACATGGGCGAGAAACAAATAAGTGGCTGTTACTGATGATGTAATCTCTTATCTCTTTGATATGATAAAAAGAAGAAGAAGTAGTAGTTCTAGTAGTAGTGCGGACTACGGAGCTTGAAACGACAAACAGAATATCTACGCCAAATCTAAATCCAACCAAACTACGTACACTTGTGATTGTGATGAAATAAAAACATACAAAATTAATTATTTTGGTCAGAAAACGGCATAGATAAGAATATAGAAATAGAAATATACAACAAGTTGATTAGATTGGGTAAATTATTCCTCTTCATACTATACTACTGTTACTGTATATAATAAAGTAATGATTAGAAGAACAAAAAAAGAGGAAGTGGGGAGAGAAAAGGATGTGATATTGATATTGAAACAGTGAGCATTGAGGAGGCGTGCGGTTCAATAGTCGAAATAGCCACTCGTACGTTTTCATCTCCCTACTCTCAAGTGGGTCCTCCTCTTCCTTTCACTTTTTTTTTTTTGTTTTTCTTACTTTGTGGTAAAACTAGTCTTCGAGACAAGGGATGAGTGATAATGAAATGCTATAAATACAACCAACGCCTCTCTATAGCTATATATTCTTCTTCGACACATACACACGCAATAGTGAGTGTTATAGTATAGTTAAATCCTAGAGACGAGATAAAGATATTTAGAGAGAGATGTTTGCGGTGGAGAATGGTTTGCAGGGAGACCCAAGATTACAGGCCATCTCCGACGCCATTCGTGTCATCCCTCACTTCCCCAAGACTGGTCCTGTTTTCTTCTTTCTTTCTCTAATATTCTTTCATCAACTCCTCTTTTTTTTTTTTCATATTAACGTAGAGTGTGTGTTTGTGTTGCAGGAATCATGTTTCAGGACATAACAACGTTGTTGCTGGATCCAGTTGCCTTCAAACATGTCGTTGATATCTTCGTCGATCGTTACAAGCACATGAACATCTCTCTCGTTGCCGGTTCCTTTCTCTTTCCCTTCTTTTTAACTTTTTCTTTTTCTTAGTCACTGTTTAGTTTTTGACAAAGACAAAACCTACACAAGAACAAAAGAGAAAGATAGTTAATTAGTCGCTGATTTTAGTACAATATCCGTCTTGATCTTGAACCACCGCAACGCATAGATAATAGTTATTATAATTTTCTAATACGACAAAATAGATTGTATGATCAAACACTCTTTTTCGTATACAGTATGATAGAAGAATCCGAAGCGGAGTCATATCTCTCCCAATATGAAAAGATTGAATAAACAATAGACAACTTTTATGGATTAATGATTTTACCACTCACGTATTAGCTAGCTTAGCTAGTGTGGTTGGTGACTAATATTACTCTTATCCCTTTTAAGTCCTCTTTATTATTGTCGTCACTCGTGAGCTCGCCTCTAGCTTTTATTTTTCTTATCTTTTAGTGACCCTTTTAAGAATTCGATTTGTCGGACTATATAAAAGTATTATTAATAAAATGGGACTTATGCAGGAGTAGAGGCGAGAGGATTCATATTTGGATCTCCCATCGCACTAGCCATAGGTGCCAAGTTCGTTCCCCTACGTAAACCGGGAAAATTACCTGGTACTTATATACATATATGTAAATATATTGTTAGACGATTAACAAAAATGTGTTGTTGGAATAAATAAAGATAATTGGTTTGTGATGTTAAAAAAGGGAGAGTGATAAGTGAAGAGTACGAGCTTGAGTATGGAAGTGATCGTCTAGAGATGAGTGTGGAGGCTGTCAAATCCCACGAACGAGCTATCGTCATTGACGATTTAGTTGCCACTGGTGGAACACTCTCCGCTTCCATTCTCCTATTGGGTAATGCCTATATCTTTTTACTTATTATTATTATTATTTTTTTTTTATAAAAAGTGAATGCTAATTTAAAAAAATCAAAAGAAACTAAAAGTATGCCTTTTGAGAATATACGAACGAATACTTGTATATCGAGTGTTTTAAGCTAACAAGTAACAAGTCTATATATATGCACTTTAGAGCGCGGTGGGGCCGAAGTTGTGGAATGTGCCTGCGTCGTTGGTTTGCCTATCTTCAAGGTACTTTAGTCTTTAGAAGAAGTTTCGAACCAATATATAGTTTATGGGACTTTTGCGGAATGATGTCCTCGAAAGTTAACTTGGTTGTTTTTATGTGATTTGCAGGGTCAGTGTAGGCTGAAGGGAAAGCCATTGTACGTTCTGGTGGAGCCTAACCAGTTGGATGAATTAACCTTTTAAGCCTTTTTGTATCCGGTTCGAACTAGATGTGATCTCACCACTGTGACGATAGTATAATCGATCTATTACATCAGAGACTCAATATGGATATGGAATGATTCATGCTAGTTTCCAAGCTACTCTGTATGTATATAGCTTGCCACAAATCAAAGCTTTGTTGTTTCAGCATTGTTCATTTTGGGTTGATCTGTCTATTGTCAAAAATAAATCGGTTTAAGCAAAGCAAAAGATACCGAGTGTTGAAACCATCATTTACCCTTCATCTCATCATTTGGAAGGCAAGGTTATTTGAAAGTAAAATTTGGAATACGAAAGAGAAATGAACACTCATCACATGCATCATTTTGCACAAATGAATTGAAATCAGTTTATAACTTTTCTAAGACCCAAGCCCAAGGCCCAAAGGGAGAAAACGGAATTATCAGGATTTGAAAAAGAAATGTTGGGTGCAGTTTCACGCGCTACGCGCCCATGTAAAAAAGGAAAGTACGAAAGAGCCCCTGCCGCTTAAAGTTGTTGTATAAAAGGATAAACGAGGCCTGGCCTATAGGCTATAGTCAAAGAGGAAAGAAAACCCATCGAAAACCTAACCCAATAGCAAACCTGTAACGCTCCTCCTCAATCCTCAATCCTCAATCTTCATTCCCGAATCTCGATCGTCGGAGATTGCCCAGACTCATCTTCTTCTCCTCCTCCCTCCCAAACCCTATTTATTTTCTGGAGATCGAATCGACTCATCTGTCAATTCTTTGGAGATTCCAGCCATGTCTGCCGTTTATTGCGGAACCAAGAGATCGTTCTTCGAAGATATTCCTTCTCCGCCGTCATCAAAGAGGTTCCGATGTTACTCCCCATCCAATTCTACAAGCTGGTCCTCTCCATCCTCATCGCTCGATCAGCTTCGCACTGCCTTTCCTCACCTTGAACTGACGGTATGTCTTGTCCATATCTATCCTCACAGATCTAGATTTATCACTGGCAAGGGCTTTGTTAATCGCGAATTGCGTATCTAGATTGCTATCCTTTCATTCCCCGCTTCTAGATTGAATTTTTGCGGCATCGAATTGCTATGATTCGTCCTGTGATTGGCTTGGCAAATATGCTCCGCTTACAGTAGCTTGGTGTTCTTGTGCTGTAGAAATTTAATTAGATTTGGAAGGCTGCGTGATATCTAATCATCCATTTTTATCAGGTGCTTGTCAAGGCACTAGAAGAACATGGGAGTGATTTAAATGCTGCTATGAAAAGCTTATACTCTTTGGTATCCGCTGTGGACAAGGAAGCTGAAGTTTTGCCAGCAGGAGGTGCTAATAAGGAAACTGGTTCAACTTTTACGGCATCAGACAATCCCCCGACGAGTGGTGATGGCTGGGTTGAATTGTTGGTCCGGGAGGTGTCACAATCTAGTGGTGCAGATGATGCAAAAGTCCGTGCCTCAAGAGTCCTTGAGGCTTTAGAGAAGATGTTAAGTGCGCGTGCTCGTGAAGAAGCAGGAAAAAAGTTCCAAGAGGTAAAGCATTGTACCTGCTTAATTTCTATTTCACTGTGTTCCATTCAATATATAAGCTGCTAGGAAATTTGGGTTGCTGTAAGACATAGGATTAACCATTAGCTATTACTCATGTAGCTTCTTCACACGATGTCATTGACTACAAGTTGTTGGGTTTATTCATAACTGTGTATTGTGGCACTGAGGAATCAATTTGCTCTGTCAAAACTCTGATATTTACGAAATTAAGCTGGTGTGGTCTTCTTAGGAATCTACTGTATCTCTTGTGCTTTTTGTTATTAATACCGTCTTGTGATATTGCAGGAGCATGTAGCAGTGCAGCAGCAACTGGAGGCATTGACCAAGGACAACACAGTCCTCAAACGAGCTGTTGCTATCCAGCATGAGCGGCAGAAGGCACTGGAGGATGCGAACCAGCAGCTGGAACTTTTGAAACACCTGATTCCTCAGTACCAGGAAAAGCTCAGAACTCTCGAGGTAAGCCTTTTTAAGCATACACAGAGATGTGTTGAAAACCAGACTGTTCCCTAATCTTGAAGCTTTATTTGGAAATGCAGGTGAACAACTATGCATTGAAAATGCACCTGCAGCAAGTGGAACATGGCAACTCAATGCCGGAAAGATTCAATCCGGACGTCTTCTAAGGCTCTCCAAGGAACGGGGACAGTTGCAGGACAAGGCAATAAACGCAGCAAGTAGAGGGGAGAGATATCATCGAAACTATAAAACAGACATGCTTTTGCATTGTATTACTGTGTAGTCAGAACTCAGAACATCATCCTTTTCCTTACATTTCCTTTTTGTTTTTTTTTTTTTTGGTTTTCTTTGCTGCTGTTTGTCTGTTTCTCAGTCTCATTTATTGGGATATAAAGGATGCGTTTCGGTATAGGGCTCTGTATAATCGAACATTGTTCTGAGCAAATTGGTGTGTCGGAGACGAGAAATTGTGCTGACCTGAAAACATGGCGTTACCATTTATATATATATGTATATATAAACCAGTTTGCTAATAAGTAATTGCTCTTTTCTCTTTATATACAGTATGATTCGATTGTTGCTACTTTGAAGAAAAAAAAACAAGTGCGACTTTATTATCATATAAGGCAAAAAACGATGGAAGCGGGGGATAAATTATAAAATGTGAATAAATAAAAAGAAATCCACGCGAGCGAGGTTCGCACCACAAATCCCGAATTTCGCTGGGAAAGCAAATTAGAGAAGCGAAGTGGAATCAATGACACCATTGCCAAGCTTCTCCGCTTCCTCTTGATAGCTTGAGAAGCTCGTTTCATCGACACCAAACCAAGCCCATTTTGTCCTCTCAAATGGCTGCCTTGGCTTCTCCCTCCCTCATCCCCTCCTCTCTCTGCTTCGCCACCGCCGCCGCCGATGGTCCTCCGTCCCTCTCTTCAAACTTCTCGGCCTTTTTCGACGGCGGCGGTACTAATCTCAGGTACCACAAGAGCTTCTTATCCGTTTCATCGCCTTCGCCTTATCGAAATCGACGGGGTTCCTCTCGCCGTTCACTCGTCGTGTTTGCTGCTTCCGGCGACTACTACGCTACTCTCGGTGTGCCTAAATCTGCTAACAGCAAGGAGATTAAAGCTGCGTATCGACGCCTGGCTCGTCAGGTATTCTACTTCTCCAAATTCGCTTTCCAATGGTCGGTGCGTGTTCGTATTGTTAGGGTAGAGAACATTCACATTACACTGTTGCTTACCGTAGCCGATTGAAGTAATGTGTAAACCGGATCATTCAAGTAATTTTATGTTAGCATTTCATTGTTTGGGTGTGATGCTGCTCTGTAATGTTAGCATTTCATTATTTAATCCCACACAAGAGACTTGGATATGATTCTACTTTAATAATCTACACAACATTAAGATGGAGTATTAGTTTTATACTATTATTTCAAGTTTATTGAGCTATGATCATGGAACTGAGGAGCTGATTATGAACTTCGTATGTTAGTACCATCCCGATGTGAACAAGGAACCTGGAGCAACCGACAAGTTCAAGGAAATCAGTGCTGCCTATGAGGTATGCACCAAAAGCTAAGGTCCCCAGTTTGATTCTCTTCATGCCTTTTTTCCCTCAGCTAACACTAAATTTCGGCCATTTGGGTTTACTTTTGTTGCTTACATGAAAATTCATCTTGCTGCTAGAATATGTAACGTATAACATGCCTACTCTGCTATTTTGCTTTGTGGTTACTGTACTACAACTTTGTCAGGTGCTATCAGATGAGCAAAAGAGAGCATTATATGATCAGTATGGTGAAGCCGGAGTCAAGAGTTCTGTAGGAGGAGCTTCTGGTACTTACACGGTAACATATTATCTTTATATCTCTGTCTATGCTTAATCAGTACATTTTCTCTCTTGCTCATGCATTACCTGTTGAAACTTGATTTGAGATGTGCATTGGGCATCAGCCCTTGTGCTTGTGCAGTTGTGCGATTACTTTTCTTTGACGTATCTTCTCTTATATTTTTGAGCAGACCAATCCCTTTGACCTTTTTGAGACATTCTTTGGTGCGAGTATGGGTGGATTTCCCGGGATCGACCAAGCAGAATTTGGGAGAACTCGCCGGGCTAGGGTTACTAAAGGTGAAGATCTACGGTGAGTTTGTACTAGAAAACAATGCATTTATAGACTAACCACACCGTAGGATTATTCTCTGGTAGCATAACAACTTATACTATTCATTGACTAGCTGAAAAACAAAAATTTGTTAGTGTTTCCCAACTTGTTCTGAAATTTGCTTCTAGCATGGGCTTAAATCACTATCCGGTGGAGGGTTTTGTCTGAATGTCCATTCGCTTGGTTTCATCTTTTGGGTTTTTTCCTTCCTCTTTATGAGCTGCATTAGCTGTGAAACTCCAAAATGGTCAAATCACATTTTTACCTGTGTTGCCTTTTTAGGTATGACATCACCTTAAAACTGTCAGAGGCTATTTTTGGATCTGAGAAAGAATTTGATCTTATGCATCTGGAGACATGCGAAGCTTGTGCTGGTACCGGAGCAAAAGCAGGTTCCAAGAAGAGAATATGCTCCACTTGTGGTGGGCGGGGTCAAGTTATGAGAACTGAGCAAACACCATTTGGCATGTTTTCACAGGTCCGTGCAGTTGATTTTCTTTCCTTAATGTCTTCTTTCTTTCTGTTGTAGTTAATTCGAGTCTGACGTCAGAAAACTGCATCTGATTGGAGCATCAGAATTCAGTCACTATACAGTTAACTAAAAAATCTGTTTGTGGTTCGTACAACTAGAAATTGCTGAAGTGAGAATGCGTTCAGAACTTAGTTGATTGTGAAAGTTTGTTCTTGTTAGTAACACTACCATGCCTCCATATAGCTGCTGAGCTTATTAATATATGTGTGGTGGTTTGTTTCACCGTAGGTTTCTATATGTCCAAACTGTGGTGGAGATGGTGAGGTTATTTCTGAGAGTTGCCGGAAATGCTCTGGAGAAGGACGTGTGCGTATTAAGAAGAGCATCAAAGTCAAAATTCCGCCGGGAGTTAGCGCAGGTAGCATCCTTAGAGTTTCTGGAGAAGGTGATTCTGGTCCCAGAGGGTATGTAGAGGAAATTACATGCCTTTTAGAAAATCATTCTTTTTGCAATCTTGATGGTTCTAATATTTGTTTTTTTGGTAATTGGCTTTCTGCTGCCATTAGTGGCCCCCCAGGAGATTTGTATGTTTATCTTGATGTTGAAGAAGTCCGGGGAATTCAAAGGGATGGCATAAACCTTTTATCTACCCTTTCGATCAGTTACCTTGATGCTATACTGGGTGCGGTTGTTAAGGTGATTTAGTTATTTGTATCAGACATCCAACAAGTAGATATCCTCGAAATTGATCATTCATCCTATGATTCATCTTTGTAATTGTAGGTGAAAACAGTTGAAGGAGACACTGAGCTGCAGATACCACCGGGTACTCAACCAGGGGATGTGCTGGTGCTGGCAAAGAAAGGTGCACCAAAACTGAATAGACCGTCTATCCGCGGTGACCACTTGTTTACAGTCAAAGTTACCATACCAAATCAAATAAGGTATTACCGTCTAAACTTGTCTTGAGGCCAGTTGAACTAAACCAGGCAAAGGTTTATGAGTCTGTTGATGCCTTCTTTTAATTCGTTGTCTGGATCCTACGAACAGTGGTGGAGAGCGGGAGTTGCTGGAGGAACTTGCATCTCTGAGTGATACGCGCAGCAGCAGGCCCCGAACTCGTGCTAAGCCACAGCAATCCACTAGTAAGCTGACAATTTCTTGATCTCAGGAAAATCTGTAATGCATAGGACTCTTTTATGTCAAAATATTGATGGGTCCTCTTGTATGAGTTTATTTGATACACGTACACATTTCATGGAACCACCCCCAAAAAAACTGTTATGCCGTCTTTGGTATTGCAGCTTTAAGCAGTGCACCCCGTAGCGCAGAAAGCAGGACAGATGAAGTTACGGAGAAAAGCCAAGAAGCTGAACAAGAAAACGATTTGTGGAAGAACATCAAAGATTTTGCAGGGTAAGTATTTCCAATGATAAAAAGAAGGGTTATTCAATTCCTTAGTGAATTGTCAGCTTTTGTTGAATCTAAAGCGTTCTCAACACACAGTAATGAATGATGATGTTTTGATTGTAGGTCGGTTGCAAATGGAGCTCTGAAATGGCTGAGAGATAACCTGTAGAGATCCATATCTTCAACTAACAGGACCTGCTTGCATTCATGGTACCGATGTGGAAATAAATGTTCATTGAATTCATTTGTTAATCTGCAGTAAACTCTTTTTACTTTTTCAAGTTTGGTGGATGGTAATTATCAAGTCATTTTGTTCTGATGCACAGATTGTGAGAAGAGTGGCGATTCTGCTCCACATGTACACTTTTTTCTTTCTATTATAGTACAAATGCAACCGGTTGTTCGAGTTGGTTTTGTGTTTTGGTTTATAAATGAGAGAATTATATCTGTAGTACTAAACCTCTCCATTTATTTATTTATTTTCCCCTTCATTTTCTAGTGTTGTTCTCTTTGTTATTTTGTTAGTTTTACCAAATAAACAACTGTTGCAAACAAAAAGAAGAAAGAAATTGATGCATGGTTTTGTGGAAAAATTGAAAAACTCTCTGATGTTATCCTCTTTCTATCGTTTTCAGGGAAGTGAGGTCGAAATTCCGTATTTGCCCTGGGAAAGGCCGAGAAAAGAAAAGGGAATAAAAAAAGCTCAAAACCCTAGCCGTAAGCAGGTCCAAAACACAGTTGATCTGAATCTCCGCTAAAATTCGATCAAAGAGCAGATCCGAGAGCTCATCCAAAGCCCATTAGCCTCGTCGTCTCCCTCCTCTTCTTTTTCAAAGTTTTCGCTCTTTCGCCTCGATTCGCGCTTCCCATCGTCGTATCCTTCCCGCCGATACAAACTGGGTATCTATTCCTCTCTGTCGTCTCAGATCTCGCCTTCTGAGATCCCTTCCCACTCGATTTACTGTGGTTTTTCAGTGGTTTACGCCCTTCTGGATCTCCATCGCCTGTTTTGATCCTATTCTTCACGAATTCGACTATCTCCGACGGTCTTCTTCTGAGGTTGGTATCATCAGATCTCCCCTTTAATCTCTAAATCTGTTGCTATACACAATGGTGTCACGAGGATAGCAGCAATTCTCTGCTGAACCTGAACGTCTTTCCTTTTATCGATTTTTTTCTCTAGTTTGCTGTTTTTGATTAGCTCAACTAGTGTGTCCCTTGGTGCCCCAATTTGTCTAAACTGCTGATATTGTAGCAAGTGATTCAGTATATAAGATATGCTGATTCTACTGTGATTGTCTGGTTCAGGAGCACAACTCATGGATAGTAATTCTTTGATGCTGATTGACAACAATGGCTCTTTTGAGATTGATGACCAATCCCATATGGATGTCGATGCCTCTCACAACCAGTCCGTGGCTTTGCTCACGCCCACAAGGCCCAACGAGGATGGACCTACTGCGGATACTGATGAAGGCTCGCTGCCTGAACCCGGTACACAACCCGGCAAGCGCAGGAGGAAGAAGTCTATGGTCTGGGAGCACTTCACCATTGAAACCGCTAGCCCTGGATCTACTAAAGCTTGTTGCAAACACTGCAGGAAATCATTTGCCTACATAACTGGCCAAAAGTTGGCAGGAACAAGCCACCTTAAGCGTCACATTCAACTGGGTATCTGTCCAATGAGCCGAGAGACCCACTCTCAGCTCCCACCAACCTCTGAAACCAAAGATCCTACCACCACTTGTCCTCCCAAAAAACGCCCGAGGTTGTCTGCTCCATATATGAATGTCCCTCTGAATCAGGATCGTTGCTACAATGAGATGGCTAAGATGATTATCATGCATGAATATCCGCTTCACATGGTCGAGCATTCTGGATTTACTGGTTTCGTGCAGGCCCTGCGTCCCCAGTTCACTATGGCAAGCTTCAATACCATTCATGCTGATTGTGTGACTATGTACTTGTCGGAGAAGCAAAAACTTTCAGACTTCATCACTGAGATTCCTGGGCGAGTGAACCTCACCGTTGATTTGTGGACATCAAATCAATCAGTGGGTTATGCGTTTGTGACAGGACACTTCATTGATCGGGACTGGAATCTTACTCACAGGCTTCTAAATGTCGCTGTTGTTCCTTCCCCTGATTCAGATTTTGCTTTAAATCAGCCTATTGCAGCTTGTGTATCCGACTGGCATCTGGAGAGAAGGCTTTCCAGCATCACTGTTGGGCAATCAGTAGTAAATAAAACTTCTATTGAAAACCTCAGATGCTGTCTGTCTGCCAGGAACCAGCATGTAATGAACGGTCAGTTGTTGTTGGGGAATTGCTATGCCCGCCTCCTAAGCAGTATGGCCCAGGATGTGCTTGGAAATGAGGGTCTTGAAACTCCCATTAGAAAAGTTCGTGATAGCGTGAAGTATGTGAAGACCAAAGACAGTTCCGGAGAGAGGTTTGATGAGCTGAAGAAACAACTTCAAACCCCTTCAACAAAAGATCTCTGCATTGACAACCTAACGAAATGGGACACAACTTACAATATGTTACTGGCTGCATACGAACACAAGGAAGTGTTTTCTTGCCTGGGAAACTGCGATCTTGACTATAAAATGTCAACATCTCCGGAAGAGTGGACAAAGATCGAGAATCTCTGCTCGTGCTTGAAGATTCTATTTGACGCGGCTAATGTTTTGACTGGCCCAACCCGATTGACAGCAAACGATTTGTACCATGAAATTACAAAGCTTCAGCTAGAGTTAAACAACGCAGCCATGAGTGAAGACCCAGATGTCAGAAACCTGGCGAACCCAATGAGAGAGAAGTTTGACGAGTACTGGAGAGGATGCTTCCTGCTTCTGGCAGTTGCTGTGGTGATGGATCCACGCTTCAAGATGAAGCTTATTGAGTTTAGTTTCTCTAAGGCTTATGGGGAAGATGCAGAAAAATGGATCAGGAGTGTTGATGATGCTATACGTGATCTGTACCATGACTATACTGAACAGAGTCACTCCCTGATGGATGCTTATGTGGGCCACGGGAATGATGGCTTTTCCGAAACAGATATGTCTCAAGTTCACTTCCATGATGAATACCAACACTCAAATGGGCTTACACATGATCAAATATATGAACAGCCTGAAGATGGCAATCCGCTGAATGGAAAACCAGGAGACCACGTTTTAGACGGTCATGAGTCTCAAGAAGTTGCTCAGACTGAGGTAAATCCACAGGCAACAGAATCCTTACCTCATGTCCAAGAAGAGAAAATTGCAGAGCCTCTTCTTCAGGAAGATCAGACAGGTCATCCCGTTGAGGAAATGCCACTGGAAAACCAGGGAGTGGATGATGACAAGGATCTAACCCACGGCACGCAGCCGGTAGAGGAAATGCTCGAGGACACTCAAGCAGTTGAGGAAGTGGAGAAAAATGATGATGACATTCAGCCTGTTGAAGAAATCGTGGAGGACACTCAAGCAGTTGAGGAAGTGGCTCATGAGGTACAAGTGGTGGAGAAGGAGCATGATGACATTCAGCCTGTTGAGGAGGTAGGAGATGAGACACAGTCAGTGGAGGAAATGCTGGAGGAAACTACATCAGTTGAGACTCAACTGGTGGAGGAAAAGCGTGATGACATTGAACATGTTGAGGAAGTAGGAGATGAGACACAGCCAGTGGACGAAATGCTTGAGGAAACTCAACCAGTTGAGGAAGTGGCTCAGGAGGCACAGCTGGTGGAGGAAACGCATGATGACATCCAGCACGTTGAGGAAGTAGAAGATGAGACACAACCAGTGGACGAAATGCTCGAGGAAACTCAACCAGTTGAGGAAGAGGCTCAGGAGGCACAGCTGGTGGAGGAAACGCATGATGACATTGAGGCAGTTAAGGAAATCGTCGAGGACACGCATCCTGCTGAACAGGAGGCACAGCCAGTAGAGGGGATATTAGAGGAAGCGGCACCGTCAGTGGAGCCAATCCCGGAGCACAGTGAAAGCCCACAAGAAGGCGAAGCTGTGCAACAAGAGCAGCAATTAGATCAAGGCATAGCCTCAGAGCCACAAGATGATTCTCAATCACATGCGATGCCACAGGAGGAAGCAGCTACGTTTGCAATCCCTCAAGAAGGTCACCATGTTGACGTCCTTCTCCAGGAAGGCCACCACCTTGAAGCATCTTCGCAGGAGTTTCCCCTCATCACCATTGGAGATGGGTTCTCGGACTTCGAGCTTTACATCTCTGAGGTAGGCAGTCACCAGCAGATGAAATCGGAGCTCGACCAATACCTGGAGGAATCTCTGATACCGCGATCACAGGACTTTGAAATTCTGGGCTGGTGGAGCCTCAACCGTACCAAGTACCCCACTCTCTCCAAGATGGCAGCTGATGTATTGTCCCTACCCTTTTGCACTGTCTCTCCAGATTCTGTTTTTGACACAGAGGTGAAGAAGATGGACAATTACAGGAGCTCCCTTCAACACGTGACCTTGGAAGCTCTCTTCTGCGCCAAGGACTGGTTCAAGCACGGCTCTTCCACTTCCACCTCGGAGAACAATCTCAAGAGGGAATCTTGAGTTTCCCTCTCTATGATTCCTTGTAGCTTTACTATATACGGTACTATATATATTTGCTGTAGCCCACTCTAGGCGAATCTGGACTTTTACCACTTGTGTTTGTTTCTTGCTTTTACCAATCTCTCTGTTGGGGGTTGTTTATGTCTTTCGTGAGGAGCTCACATGATTTTAATGTTACAATTTGGCATCGTTCATTACAGATTGGATAGAGTCGGACCTAATAAAAGTTGGATGCTGGCTGGTCAAATGGCCAGCCCTTTAAAGTTTTAACCCAAAATCAGAAAATTTTGAGATTTTCAGAAATAACGAATAAAAGATGTTTAGAGTAAAAAAACTTTCCGTCAAGGCGAGAACTTGTAAGAAATCCAAATAACATAATTTAAACAGAGTGTGAGAAAGCCAAAAAAATATCTTACCCCAATTTTTTCAAAATTTGCAAAAACTCGTAGGTGTTAGCCCACAAATAGTGGTAAAATTGACAATTTTTGAGGTTTTTCTAAATTAATGATTGGAAGGTGTCTAAATTGAAAACAAATTGATCCAGCCATTTTTCATAGAAACAGAGAGTGTGAGAAAGCAAAAAAACATCTTACTCCAATTTTTTTCAAAATTTGCAAAATCTCGTGTGTGTTAGCTCATAAATATTGGCAAAATTAACAATTTTTGAGGATTTTCTAAATTAATGATTGAAAAGTGTCTAAATTGAAAACAAATTGATCCAGCCATTTTTCATAGTAACGGAGAGTGTGAGAAAGCAAAAAAACATATTACTCCAATTTTTTAAAAATTTGCAAAAACTCGTGGGTGTTAGACCACAAATATTGGCAAAATTGACAATTTTTGAGTTTTTTCCAAATTAATGATTGGAAGATCTCTAAAGTGAAAACAAATTGATCCAGCCATTTTTCATAGTAACAGAGAGTATGAGAAAGTCAGAAAAAAATCTTACTCCAATTTATTCAAAATTTGCAAAAACTCGTAGGTGTTAGCCCACATATATTGGCAAAATTGACAATTTTTGAGGTTTTTCTAAATTAATGTTTGGAATGTGTCTCAATTGAAAAAAAATTGATCTGCCATTTTTCATAGTAACAGAGAGTGTGAGAAAGCCAAAAAATATATTATTCCAATTTTTTCAAAATTTGCAAAAACTCATGCATGTTAGCTCACAAATATTGGCAAAATTAACAATTTTTGAGTTTTTTTCTAAATTAATGATTGAAAGGTCTGTAAATTGAAAACAAATTGATCCCGCCATTTTTCATAGTAACAGAGAGTGTGAGAATGTCAAAAAACATATTACTCCAATTTTTTAAAAATTTGCAAAAACTCGTGGGTGTTACCCCACAAATATTGGCAAAATTAACAATTTTTGAGTTTTTTCCAAATTAATGATTGGAAGGTCTCTAAAATGAAAACAAATTGATCCATGCATTTTTTATAATAACAGAGAGTGTGTGAAAGTTAGAAAAAATCTTACTCCAATTTTTTCAAAATCTGCAAAAACTCGTGGGTGTTAGCCAACAAATATTTGTAAAATTGACAAATTTTGAGGTTTTTCTAAATTAATGATTGAAAGGTGTCTAAATTAAAAACAAATTGATCCCGCCATTTTTCATAGTAACAGAGAGTGTGAGAATGTCAAAAAACATCTTACTCCAAATTTTTCAAAATCTGCAAAAACTCGTGGGTGTTATAACCCACAAATATTGACACAATTGACAAATTTTGAGGTTTTTCTAAATTAATGATTGGAAGGTCTCTAAATTGAAAACAAATTGACCCAACCATTTTTCATAGTAACAGAGAGTGTGAGAATGTCAAAAAACATATTACTCCAATTTTTTAAAAATTTGCAAAAACTCGTGGGTGTTACCCCACAAATATTGGCAAAATTAACAATTTTTGAGTTTTTTCCAAATTAATGATTGGAAGGTCTCTAAAGTGAAAACAAATTGATCCATGCATTTTTTATAATAACAGAGAGTGTGTGAAAGTTAGAAAAAATCTTACTCCAATTTTTTCAAAATCTGCAAAAACTCGTGGGTGTTAGCCAACAAATATTTGTAAAATTGACAAATTTTAAGGTTTTTCTAAATTAATGATTGAAAGGTGTCTAAATTAAAAACAAATTGATCCCGCCATTTTTCATAGTAACAGAGAGTGTGAGAATGTCAAAAAACATCTTACTCCAAATTTTTCAAAATCTGCAAAAACTCGTGGGTGTTATAACCCACAAATATTGACACAATTGACAAATTTTGAGGTTTTTCTAAATTAATGATTGGAAGGTCTCTAAATTGAAAACAAATTGACCCAACCATTTTTCATAGTAACAGAGAGTGTGAGAATGTCAAAAAACATATTATTCCAATTTTTTAAAAATTTGCAAAAACTCGTGGGTGTTAGACCACAAATATTGGCAAAATTGACAATTTTTGAGTTTTTTCCAAATTAATGATTGGAAGGTCTCTAAAGTGAAAACAAATTGATCCAGCCATTTTTCATAGTAACAGAGAGTGTGAGAAAGTCAGAAAAAAATCTTACTCCAATTTATTCAAAATTTGCAAAAACTCGTAGGTGTTAGCCCACATATATTGGCAAAATTGACAATTTTTGAGGTTTTTCTAAATTAATGTTTGGAATGTGTCTCAATTGAAAAAAAATTGATCTGCCATTTTTCATAGTAACAGAGAGTGTGAGAAAGCCAAAAAATATATTATTCCAATTTTTTCAAAATTTGCAAAAACTCATGCATGTTAGCTCACAAATATTGGCAAAATTAACAATTTTTGAGTTTTTTTCTAAATTAATGATTGAAAGGTCTGTAAATTGAAAACAAATTGATCCCGCCATTTTTCATAGTAACAGAGAGTGTGAGAATGTCAAAAAACATATTACTCCAATTTTTTAAAAATTTGCAAAAACTCGTGGGTGTTACCCCACAAATATTGGCAAAATTAACAATTTTTGAGTTTTTTCCAAATTAATGATTGGAAGGTCTCTAAAATGAAAACAAATTGATCCATGCATTTTTTATAATAACAGAGAGTGTGTGAAAGTTAGAAAAAATCTTACTCCAATTTTTTCAAAATCTGCAAAAACTCGTGGGTGTTAGCCAACAAATATTTGTAAAATTGACAAATTTTGAGGTTTTTCTAAATTAATGATTGAAAGGTGTCTAAATTAAAAACAAATTGATCCCGCCATTTTTCATAGTAACAGAGAGTGTGAGAATGTCAAAAAACATCTTACTCCAAATTTTTCAAAATCTGCAAAAACTCGTGGGTGTTATAACCCACAAATATTGACACAATTGACAAATTTTGAGGTTTTTCTAAATTAATGATTGGAAGGTCTCTAAATTGAAAACAAATTGACCCAACCATTTTTCATAGTAACAGAGAGTGTGAGAATGTCAAAAAACATATTACTCCAATTTTTTAAAAATTTGCAAAAACTCGTGGGTGTTACCCCACAAATATTGGCAAAATTAACAATTTTTGAGTTTTTTCCAAATTAATGATTGGAAGGTCTCTAAAGTGAAAACAAATTGATCCATGCATTTTTTATAATAACAGAGAGTGTGTGAAAGTTAGAAAAAATCTTACTCCAATTTTTTCAAAATCTGCAAAAACTCGTGGGTGTTAGCCAACAAATATTTGTAAAATTGACAAATTTTGAGGTTTTTCTAAATTAATGATTGAAAGGTGTCTAAATTAAAAACAAATTGATCCCGCCATTTTTCATAGTAACAGAGAGTGTGAGAATGTCAAAAAACATCTTACTCCAAATTTTTCAAAATCTGCAAAAACTCGTGGGTGTTATAACCCACAAATATTGACACAATTGACAAATTTTGAGGTTTTTCTAAATTAATGATTGGAAGGTCTCTAAATTGAAAACAAATTGACCCAACCATTTTTCATAGTAACAGAGAGTGTGAGAATGTCAAAAAACATATTACTCCAATTTTTTAAAAATTTGCAAAAACTCGTGGGTGTTACCCCACAAATATTGGCAAAATTAACAATTTTTGAGTTTTTTCCAAATTAATGATTGGAAGGTCTCTAAAGTGAAAACAAATTGATCCATGCATTTTTTATAATAACAGAGAGTGTGTGAAAGTTAGAAAAAATCTTACTCCAATTTTTTCAAAATCTGCAAAAACTCGTGGGTGTTAGCCAACAAATATTTGTAAAATTGACAAATTTTGAGGTTTTTCTAAATTAATGATTGAAAGGTGTCTAAATTAAAAACAAATTGATCCCGCCATTTTTCATAGTAACAGAGAGTGTGAGAATGTCAAAAAACATCTTACTCCAAATTTTTCAAAATCTGCAAAAACTCGTGGGTGTTATAACCCACAAATATTGACACAATTGACAAATTTTGAGGTTTTTCTAAATTAATGATTGGAAGGTCTCTAAATTGAAAACAAATTGACCCAACCATTTTTCATAGTAACAGAGAGTGTGAGAATGTCAAAAAACATATTATTCCAATTTTTTAAAAATTTGCAAAAACTCGTGGGTGTTAGACCACAAATATTGGCAAAATTGACAATTTTTGAGTTTTTTCCAAATTAATGATTGGAAGGTCTCTAAAGTGAAAACAAATTGATCCAGCCATTTTTCATAGTAACAGAGAGTGTGAGAAAGTCAGAAAAAAATCTTACTCCAATTTATTCAAAATTTGCAAAAACTCGTAGGTGTTAGCCCACATATATTGGCAAAATTGACAATTTTTGAGGTTTTTCTAAATTAATGTTTGGAATGTGTCTCAATTGAAAAAAAATTGATCTGCCATTTTTCATAGTAACAGAGAGTGTGAGAAAGCCAAAAAATATATTATTCCAATTTTTTCAAAATTTGCAAAAACTCATGCATGTTAGCTCACAAATATTGGCAAAATTAACAATTTTTGAGTTTTTTTCTAAATTAATGATTGAAAGGTCTGTAAATTGAAAACAAATTGATCCCGCCATTTTTCATAGTAAC